ACACAGGGACCAACCAGGTGCAGGGTGCGACACAGAAGCTCACACTTGTGTTTAGCACGTCAGATCCTAGCAGGCTGTGAGTTGAGCAAACAGGATCATTCTTGAATTTCAAAGCCAGAGACTAAGTCACCCTCAATTTCCATACCACATTTCAGGGGGGGAAACAAAAGAAAGTATAGATTTCTATTCAGGAAATGATTGCCAAAATATACCATGCACTCAGGTGCAACTGGCCAAGAGTGGAGACAAACAAAGAGGGCAAGGAGGGGACAGATTCCCTCTAAAGCACTGAAATGGCCTTTCATCTTGTCAGTGAGGGTCAAGGCAACCCTACTGTTGACCCAGAGCCTCTCATCCCCACTCAAACAGAGCCAACGTTCTCATCCCAGCATTAGTTGAAGCCAGCCTGGGGACCCTCAGGAGAGGGAATGCCTCTGCTCCAGGAACACCCTGCTCTTTCCACATCATTATACAGAGAAACCCAGACCACATATAATGACTTAAAGGGCCCAGCAGCAGCCTGGTGTGATGAGTGCATTTGATGGTCATGTGTCTCTGTTGGCAAAGATAGAGAACGGCTCCCTCCGTTATCAGTGAAGGCCAGTTTCCATCCGATAGACTATAGACTGGTCACCATCAGGACATAGAGGAATCTAGGAGATTGTCTAGTATCACAGCCATTTAACACCCACGAATGATAAAACTGAGGCCCAGAGAGGTTGAGGTTTGCATAAAACATCTATTTAGCCTTAGGCTAGAAACAAAGTTATTCGAAACAATATGGTCTGTGGAGTGCTGTGTAGCACAAGACACTTCCTTTATTAAAGGATGAGGAGTAAGTAAGTTGTAGTCCCTGATGGCTATACAGACATTGACAAGTAATATAACAGAGGACCAGCTCAACAGACAATTATTGTTAGTGTCATATGCTATGTGTTGGAAAGGAAGAGGTGAAGTTGAAGTTTTAGTCAGTCAATCAACATTTGTAGATGCAGCTTCTTCTCAAAGCTTTTTCTTCATAAAAGACAAAAAGGTAGTAGTCCCTGCCTAGGGAGTCTGAGACTGTGTGTGTGTGTGTGTGTGTTCATGAGTGTGTATGTGCCTGTGTACATGAGTGTGTGCATGTGTGTGAATGTGTAGATATGTGTATGTGTGTGCTTGTGTGTGTATGTATAAACAAATCAGTGGTTTCTCTTTTAAAAAACAAGGTTTTACTACAAAGGAAATGACAAAGAAAGAACATTTCAGCTGTTTGGAGAGCGTGCTAGGGGGCTGAAATGAAAGAAGGGATGCTTAGGCAACAATGAGTGAGCCTGTCATGACCACAGTGAATACTATTTGATTTAACCAAAAGACAAAAGCGGGGGCACTCAAGAAAAAAAAAAGTTGTATATGGTTAGAATGTCTAGAGGTCAAGAAATATAGAACTAGGAGGAAATAACTGAATTTGGCTAGATCCATTACACACACACACATGCACCCATATCCCTCCCATACACCTGCTACATACATGCGCACATGCCCACCACATGTACCACACACACACACACACATACACACAAACTGAATATATAGCCCATAATATATATCTGTCCCCTGAAGCTACCATTTCAAATTCCTCTTCACTCACTTCTTTAGCTTCCTTATCCTTTGTGTATAGGAGGGCAACTGATTTTTTGGAGTTGATCTTGTATCCTGCCACATTACTAACCAAAGAACTCCCACAGCTGATAAATGTCCCTTTCTCTCACCTAAACAAACGTTTCTGATTTTATCAGCCAATATATTGCCTTCCTTTCTACTTTCTGCTGTCTAGAAACCATCTCAAAGTGATTTTAAAAATTAAACAGTTGAAACTCTGTTTGACATCCTGGAAAGAACTTTTTCTGTGTGGGATACCCGTGCTCTTGCAACTGCAGACCTTTTGAGAACAAACAGTCATCTATTTGTGGACATCTATCCCAACACTTCACATAGCCAATGCTACCGGCACTTAACATACGGCAGAAGGAATGGCTGCTCATGTGGTCACCAGCTCTCTTTTATACTCAAAGGTGATAACGATGAAACTGGCCTGAAGACTTTTTGTATTGCTTGCTACATCCTATCGGATGATTTTTATGACCAGGAGTAACAGGACACCATCTAAAGAATGATAAGAACAAATACAGCTCTTATACATTTCTGCCAGAGGTAAAAAGGGAACAGATTCTTTACCATACTGTTTCATATGATCCAGTAAACCTAAGAATGTAATTCCCAGTAATTTAGCAATTTCACTTCTGGGTGATGGTCAGATGACATGAATAGATGTTTTCAAAAAGCAACACACTGAAATGTTTTGGCAGTCTTATTCAGAATAGTTCCCAACTGGGCATTATTCAATATCATATGACATCATGTCTTCAGACAGCAGACTAATAAACATTAAATAGGAATGGTCAATTGATGCATACGAAAAGTAAAATTAATCTCATATATAACAAATACTTGAAAAGTGAGTTCTTTTTAAAAGAGCCTGTAGTTTTGCTTGTGTAAATTCTAGAAGCAAGAAAACTGTTACCTGTTGAAGAAGAACCTACTGAAAGAAACCACTGGTGTTAGATGATGATGATGATGATTAATATTATTAATGTTTTGAGACAGGGTTTCTTTCTAGCTCTGGAGCCTGTCCAGGAACTAGCTCTTGTAGACCAAGGCTGGCCTCGAACTCACAGAGATCTGCCTGCTTCTGCCTCCAAAGTGCTGGGATGCTAGAAGTATTCTTGATCCCAGTGAGATTAGACCTAAAATAATTAGGTGAATTACACAAAGAGTCATGAAGCTATACAACTGTGAGTTGTATATTTCACGCCATGCATGTACATTTTAAAATGTAAACAAAGGTATTTGCCAGAAAAGTATAAAGAGAAATGGCGTTGTCGTCCATCAGAGCTGGTAATGTATTTAGAAGGCAGAATGGCTGTCACAGTGCTTTCCCCAGAGGCTGACTCAATGAGTGGAGACAACGGATGTGAAGTGCTTCATCAAAAACAGAGTCAGTAACTTACTGGTGCATGCAAGTCCTGTAGGCCAGGGTTTCATTAGAGTTAGCATATATACATTATAATGGAGATCTTGAAAAACAAATTAGGTAAATTGGAATTCTGTATGAATAGAGTGAAGCCGGAAAGCATCTAACAAGCTTCTAGATAATTCTGTTGTTGCTCATCAATGAACCATAATTTGGGGATGAATGAGGAAGCATGAGAGTAATGGAGCTTGTCCAGCGGAAAAGGTTGTGATCAAATTCACATTTTAAAGGTCCTCTTTGATAGTAGTTTAAAACTTAGACAACACAGGGAGAAAGAAAAGAAAGTTCCAGCCTTGTATACCCTGAGCCAGAAAAGGGGAAGGGGGATGGAAAACAAGGAAAGAAAAACATTTTACAGAGCCAGTCCTCAGGGAGGGCATCACTAGCATTGGGAATGATGGAACAAAGTTATCCAAGACAGCTTGAGGGTTCTAACTTCAGCCAGCACATAGGTAAATAAATGTTAATGTTCATTGTTTTATCAGATCTTTTGATCAAAACTGCGCTTAGGAGGGACGGATGTCACTAAAATAAAACCAGCTTTGTTTTGTTTTGTTTCTCATCTGTATTTTGCTTTGGGCTTATACTGGCAGAGAAGGAACTTAGAGGAAGAAGTGTGGTGGATGGTGTAAGAATAAAACACATTGAAGCAGAAGATGTAGGACGAAGGGTTATCTAAGTCAAGATAGCCACAACAACAAATAAACCCCGAAACTACTCAGCGACTTTCAATAAGGCTCACCTACCTCTGCTTGGCTCTGCTCAGGATCAAGAGCACATTCTGCTCAGCGCAGGGAGCTGGAAGGAACTTGCAATGGATCTTAAGCTTTTGCACAGATTCATACAATGTCTCCCCTCTGACATTTCTAAATCAAGACAGATAAAAAGGGCCTGATGTAGGGATGCTCCACTACAGGTCATATTGTCACAAACAGAGGAATGTAATCCTTTTACAGGAAGAAGTAGGGACCAGATTAAAGAAAAATGTCACCCCTTCCCTGCCCAGGGATGTACCAGGGCAAATATTTCTAGCTCTCATGTATCATACTAGTCCAAGGTATAGACTTTTTTTTAATTCAACAGTTAAATAACCTCAGCATAAAATCTTTCATTAGCATGAGGTACAAGTGGACAGATTTTAATTTCCTATCTTAGTGAGTATTTAAATACTCAAAGCCTATAGGGAAGAAGTCAGGTGATGTGGGAGAAAAAAAAAGCAGCAGTCTTCTGATCTTTTCTACGTTCAGCCAAAGTCTAAAGGGGGTTACTGAGCTATTATGACATCCTATTCCATGTGCTGCTGCTGAAGGAATGAAGAACAGATATGTTTTAATTTGGAGGGGGTGATCCTAAGTATTCGAGATCACTGTATCTTAAAAGACACCTAATCTAACCCATGGAGTCCAGAAAATGACTCTACAGTTTCAGACCTTGCAGATTGTTATTTACCAATGTCCAATAAATTGATGAGCTGAATACTAATTGTGTCAAGAAAAGAGTAGAGTTTCTTTGCCAATTTATCTGGATATTCCACATAAAATAATTGAAGTTAATTTGATTATTTGAAAATTGGCCTTGGTGCCATCCATTTCAATTTTAAAACACACCTTGTGTGAGGCCTTTAATCCCAGCACTCCGGAGGCAGAGCCAGGTGGGTCTCTGTGATTTTGAGACCAGCCTGGTCTACAAAGTGAGTTCCAGGACAGCTAGGAGCTAGAAGTGTTATACAGAGAAACCCTGTCTTAAAAATGGAAGGAAAGGAGGGAGGGAGGGAGGGAGGGAGGGAGGAAGGAAGAAAGGAAGGAAGGAAAAATGAAAGCAAGAAAGAAAGGGCCTCTGAAGGACATTTTTTGCTTTTCAGACCTGGGATTAAAGCTATGGCCATGGATATCATATTTCTTTTCTTTTTTGATCACTGTTGTTACAGGACAAGAGAATGACTCAACAAAGAGTGAAGTAAAAACTGAGACAGAGTCCCCAAGCTCATCTATGGAAACAGAAGGTACTGAAGCCAGAATATATTGAATATTATTAGCAAGAATGAGAAGAAATTGTAAACTATGACTTCTCTATAAAAAGCATGAGTGTGTGTGTGTGTGTGTGTGTGTGTGTGCACATACACACTGGTGAATGGTGAGCCAGCATCCAGCTTGGTGCAAGTCTAGAATCTTTGAAGGTCACAAAAAGACTTTCTGCTCTGTATTGGCCATAATAATTCCCACTTAAACATCCTTGAGTCTTCTTCTGTCTTCTTACACTTAGAGCTTCCATCAAACCAAGAAGATGCCACAATGGTGGAGCAACCAGAAGTGATTCCCCTGACTGATGATGACCAAGAAGAGCAGGAAGGTGAAGGTAGGAGTCCTCCTAAATTAAGCCATCACAAATAGAAAGGTTCTGTGGGCACCTGCCTGGAATCCAGCTGCCAAAGCTATCCTTCACCGCTGTAGCCATTAAAGGGAGAAACAAACTAGCCTGTAACCTTGAACCTATTTTTGAAACTAGAGTAAAATCCAGAAGTAGTAAAGGTATTACTGACAACACTGCTCTCCTTCCCAATAGAATGTAGATGTATTTGCTATTCATTAAGATTTCATTTAAAAAATTGAAACTCTGGTGTTGAGAAAGTCTGTAAGAAATCCAAATCCTGAGATAAAGAAATTAAGTCCTAGGGAAAAGGAAAAGAACAAATAGATCAAACGTTCGCACCGACTTCACCCTGCCTTCCTTTGCATGGTGATGATTAAGGAAACATATGAAAGCGCTCATCCTCTGAACATAATAAATCGCAAGCCTTGTCTGCTAATCTGGGACTAGAACAACATTGAATCCTAGTTAAGAAGTAAATTAGGTCACAATGATTTCTGCTATGATTGGTGATATAAATAATTTATAAATAATAAAATATTGGGCAAAATAAGATTGTATTAAAGAAACTTAATTAAAGAAATCAGAGTAATTTAGTATTGACAGAAGAATTGTAAGAGTCTGACTCCTAACTATCTCTTTAAAAGGTCCATGAAATAATTAGTTACATCCTCGCACAAGTCACAGCGCTCTAAGTAAGTGGGTATCTGTAATTGCAGTCACAGCGCCATCACTTGGTAGACCTTGTTTACGGAATGCCATGATCAATTTTCCTTCCAAATTAAAGCACGGACATGATCTCAGTTGTAAAATCAGGTCAAACTGCAAGTACAGCTTCCAAGTTATGAACACCTCTTGGCAGGAGCATTGACGTCATTTAATTGCTGAGCTCCAGCAGTAATTTTGACTCTTAAAAAATCCACTCTGTTTATGTCCCTGCACTCTTCTTCTGTGTCTTTGCTATGTTCTTCTCAAGCTGGAATAAGAGTTCAGCCTCGTGACACTGTGTTTGTGGCAAGTCAAATGAACGGCGTCGGAGTAGTTTATCTGACGGTGATAAGAGAGGATCAATACACCCTTCACTAGATTCAGATATATAATGTACAGTATATATAAAGTATAGGAACTTCCCAACCTTTTAGTTTTACCACTAAAGCAGTACAGACACAATGCGCGCTCATTTGCTTCATCTCTCTCTTGAGGAAGTTGCTTGTTTACTTACAGTGCCTGCAAATGCAAATGGGTTAAAGAACACCAAACATTCTCTTCTTTGTAATTTGACCTACAGAGGTATCCAGCATTTGCCACAAAGTCCCCTACTATGAAACTTTTCTGTAATAATTGAAAAGTTAGGGGCTCACTTTCCCTCTCCCCTTTGTAGAAGAGGTAGCCAACCCTCTTCTGTCAGTGTTGAAACAATACATGAGAAGCTAAGGGTAAATTGGGTTCTATATTTGTGGCAACTTTCTTTGAGTTTTTACAGTAAAAGGGTAGCTCTTGTGGGCTTGAATTAGCCATCTTTCCCCTTCCTGTCTCTCACATTTATGGGCCACACCTTGAACATTCTAGAGTTTAAATTGAAAATACTTTGAATGTGTTACCCCGTTACCTTATTCTTTGTATCAGCAAAAAAAGTGAAAAGCTATTCTGTTACTATAAGAAAAGTGCTTATGCTGTGCTTATGTTGCTAATAATAACACAGACTAGGTAAACCGTAAGGAAAAAGCTCATTTGGGCTCACATTTCTGAAGATATAAGACCGAGGGCCTGCATCTGGCAATGGTCTTCTAGCTGGTAAAGTCCTGAGACAATTCAGGCACAGCATGGACAGAGACAGGGAGTATATGTGCATTTTGTGTATGCATGTGTATGTGTGAGTTTATATGTGTGGTTATGTGTGTGTGAGTGAGTGTTCACATGCTCATACACACATGCCTATTCTCTCCCTCTTCTTATGAACTTCCACCCATTTAAATCCCAACAGTGGGGATGGAATCTCAACATGTGAAGTCTTAGAAGATACCCAAACCATAGTAGCATGCAAAAGAAAGAAAGACAAAGTAAACTAGTTTACAAGTAAATTAGTAAACCCTGCTGAGGCACTTCCATATCAATGACAACTGGGTGACATCAAGAAGTTATTTAACTTATCTACATCAGGGTCCTTATCTCAATGACAGTAATGACCAATGTAACTGACACTCCATTTGCAATGAACATTTAGCCAATAGCATGTGTCAAAACAACAGTAAAAAGTCATGGTGCGTAAAGTACTTAGTGTTTAGGCCAATTTGATGACTTGATGATAAAGCAAAGAGACTCCAGAGGAAGTTCTCCAGGGGCATCCATTGCTTTCCATAACTATCAGAATCCATAAAAGTTTCACATATACTACTACCTTCAGCAACAAATAATCACTCACATTTGGTTGACAAAACCATATTATAAAAGCATACTATCAAAACGATTGCGGACTGTTTACCTGCTGAAATGGCAAATGGTACCCTATAGAATGGAACTATTAGTGTATGAGAGGGCACAAGAGTTCTGTCACCTATAACTGGATTTCTTTGTTAAGATCTCAATCTTGTGTTTCAGAAACAATAATCAAGCCATGATCCCCATTTTCTAAGCAAGATGCCATTGAATTATTGGTAGTTCCCCATAAGGAGGTCAATGAGTAAATTCAAGGTGCTTACATTTATTTTGCTCTCTTTAACTTCAAATAGATATTCAAGAGTCTGATTTGAAAACATTTTAAGACTCTGTCTTGATCTTTTGTGTGAATTTATGAAGGCATCTCTTAATAGGAAGATATGCAGATATATAGCAAATTAAATATGAGCAAAGTAAATTAATATCCTAATTTATTTGTAGAAAAATGCTCTATGTAGTTTAGAAAACATTCATTCTCTTTTAATAGGAGAATCTTTCTACTGAGGCAGACAGTGGTTCCTTTAAGAAACGAGGAGAAAAGGGTGCAACATCCTTCATTCACTTTGCATCATTTTATAGGATTAGAAAAATGTAGATAATCTTCAGGACATATCTTCTATGGCTCCCAGGTGTATGAGCACAGATGTTGCAACATTAAGATTTGAAGTTAGCTCTACCAAAATATGGATTTTTAAAAGAAGGAAAATATTCAGCAGAAGCTCATGCTGATAAAATTACACAATAGTACAATGGACATCTCCCTGGGAGACTTGAATGACAGAATTTTCAACAGGCAGAAAGTGGGGTTTCACATATGGCAGCTCTCCTTATACAGCCATATTGCCTCATTCTAAATGAGCCCTGGTTTATGCTTTCCCAGCAGGATCTGCAATGCATTTAAAATTTAGGAAAATAGCATCTTTTAGGTTAATAACTAAATAGGAGAGAGGTATAGGAAATGCTTGCTAAAAAGGATCTCATGGTTCGTATAAAATTTTACCCCTCATCAAATTTAGAGGTTTTTTGTTATAAAGTTTTGATGATACCAACATGTATCATTATTTAAAACAAAATTTTCCATCTTTATTTAGTATACATGTTGGAGTTTCTATTCAAGGTTTACCCAGAGTATAGACATTTGCTCTCAATTATTTTTCTTAGAACAATTAATTAGTGCAATGTGGGTGGAACAGGAACAGTTCACCTGTTTATTTAAAGTTGACCAAAATTGTTTGGGAGCTTCAAGTGTACTATATCCTTGGGACTTTTTGGAGAAAGAGGCATATGGACAGGAATCCAGGCAAAATGCTGTGTGTGAGCCCATGATGAGCATGAATTTTTGTTTTAATGTTCACACTTTTCAACTGGCCAGTAGGACCATGAAGCACATGTAGGAGCCATGTCATGTGTTCATGTCTTGTGTCCTGTGTGACTGCTGGTAAATCTTTTGACATCTAAGCATTTCTAAGGGAGTAATCAGAGACATAGACTCAATGATAAAATTATAAGGTTTCAATTTGTTCAATTTTCAAAGAAGGCCAACTTTGAAGGGCATATTCTTGATGGAAAATGTCCGATAACACTGAAATGGTGGGATTTCTCTAGTTTTGCTTATTTTATTCCATTGGTAAAAATACAGAGCCTCCTAGGCCATTCATAGAGATGGTCAGAATAATAACATTTTACATTAGCATCCATGAAGAACTAGAAATCTAACTTATCGTGAAGATTAATAAGTGAGGAAGTATGCCATTCTGCTTAACTTTGGTTTATACAAACTGCTCAAAACCATCCTTTTTCATCACCTCTTTCTCTCTCTCTCTCTCTCTCTCTCTCTCTCTCTCTCTCTCTCTCTCTCTCTCTCTCTCTCTCTCTCTCCATGCACAGCAACGTTCTTTCTGGCGCTCCTCTGGCCGCTGGTGCATATTTCAGTGAATATATAGTAAGCCAGCCACTTATTCTTCTGCTGCTTACCATCCTGACCCATTAGAGGTTTAGCTTGTCTTTAGGGCACCAGTTCTCCACTCTTGATGTTGTCCATTATTGATGGTACTCCCACATGGGTGACCATATTGTGTTCTCTTTCCTTGGAAAGTACCACCTGGACCTGCAATGTAGCCTCATGTGAGATAACTAACACTGGGGGTTCCAGAGCCAGTCCATGCTGTGCTAATGATAACCAGCTCGTTCGGGTTTTCTTTTGACTTGTGAAAAACACTACATAAAATTGAATAATAAATCCTGCTCAGAACTGGCCTGGGTTTCCATCTCTATGTTGCATCTTGCATCTCGGATAATAGATTAACTTCCTGGGACTTCCCATTTCAGGCACCCTGTGTTTCTTCTCTTCAAATGAACTCAGCTGAGCAGGGCTGTGGTTCTCAGCTTCCCGGGGGTACTTTGATTACAATGACTTGCTTCTGTTCTTCCATCTCTCTCTAATCTTCCTTTGCGGCCAGAAATTTTCAACTCAGCTTTGTTTTAAGATCAATTTTACATGAAAAGGATTGGTCCCTGTGTAGGCTCCATGTAAATTCTGAAGTGTTCTATGG